TTATTATTATTATTATTATTATTATTATTATTATTATTACGGTTGTTGTTGCTGTTGTTTTGTTAAAAATGAAAATGATTTTGCGGTGTATATAAATAATTAAATAGTTTTAAAGAAATAACAAACCAGATAACTGTATGTTGTATAAAACGTATAATGTAGACAGAAAGAAAGAAAGAAAGGTATCCCTACATTCCCACATAAATGAGCTTATGGTTCTCCGAGGTTATAGCCTGTGAAAGAGTGAATAAAACAAACTATTGAATAGACTACACCGCATGCTGTTTCTCGGACAGATCCTTACACACTAGTCTACAGCTAAAGACAATTACAAATGATTTCATGTGAATCATGAAGCGCCACCAGTTTTGTGTTAATAAATAATCTTAGCCTGAAAACCGAGGTCTATTACTTGACCTGAAACACTGCTAATAATATTAAATGTATGAGTTTGATAGGTATATTAATATTATTTTAATAGTATAGCTCTAATGATGATATTAGTTTCTGTTCTGGAAACTGTGGTTTTACTCTTGCGCTCTAAGTTGTGGGCTAGTCCGCAAAATAAAACTGAGAAAGAGAAACAAGTTTTTATGCGGGCATGAGGTATTGTATGTACAGTACGTGTGTGTGTGTGTGTGTGTGTGTGTGTGTGTGAGAGAGAGAGAGAGAGAGAGAGAGGGAGAGAGCAGCAGAGTTGTGTTAAGGGATGGTTTATATAGCAGTGGGTGTGAGCACAGATTGTAGTGAGTTCATTACCGCTGTACCGCTCTGCGCAGCTCAAGTTAAAGGCTAGCGATCCTCACCGGGACACTTCAGGGAAAGCTAAACTTCATTTTTAAAGATAAGCAATGAGTTGTTTTAACGCATGAACTCCAACAGTCGGCTTTAAAGACGGTTGAAGCTTCATATGCTTAGAAATTACTGAAGACTTTGTGCAGCGACGATTGCGCACGACGCACAGGGACAGATCATGCACTGTCAAGCCGAGTTGAGGCTCTCCTCCCCTGGGCAGCTGAAAGCTGCCAGGCGGCGCTACAAGACTTTCATGATTGACGAGATCCTCTCGAAGGAGACATGTGATTATTTTGAGAAACTCTCTCTCTACTCGGTGTGTCCTTCACTCATTGTTCGACCAAAGCCTCTTCATTCGTGTTCGGGTAAGACGTTTCTTCCGTCTACTTGAGAAAGAAATAAAGAAAAAAACAGACATTTTTAAAATATATGTGAGGCGCACTCATTAGCAGGTTGCAGATAATTTTACGCATAAAATGGAAACACTTACATAGTATTTCGGTACTGTAATCGATTTTTTTTTAAAAAATTTAAATAATAATCAGAATAATATGATATATTTAAATGTCGCGTGGATTGGTGAATTGTTATTTCCTGTACACAGGTTGAGGTATATTAGGCAGGTACAACTAGACATACACTCAATGAGGTGGTGATGAGGATTATGCGTCTGTGTTGACAGAACAATATGGTAACGTATAGCTCCACATTGTGTTCAGTTACTCTATTATTATTTTAATGATCATAGATAGATAGATAATTGATTTGATACAATAGTACAAATAATATATATATATATACACACACATATATATGATTGCATTGCCAGATTTCATATCTCTTTGAAGGCTTGCATATTTGTTTTCTAGTGTCGTTTAATCACAGTTTGTCTGGACTTTCTATTATTGCTACAACAGTGGCTTCATCTTCATCATTCTAAACTTTACATGATAAATCGTTGCATATCAGCTAAGTGTTTGGTGTTGAAACTCAAGTGCATTCGTCAGTGAATTTCAACGATGCTTAAGAACTTTTTTTTTTATCGAGCGGATAAATGATTGAACTGATAAGTCAACGAAGAGTACAGCTGATAAAGTAAACGATAAAGAAAAATCTAACGCTAGAAACCTGTCATAACTAAGCGCCAACCTTCAGTCTATTTTATCCCATTTGTTTTGATGAATATGAGTTTTCTGGCTTGCCAAATGCTGCCCTTATGTCCCTTACGCGGTGGGTATTTACAGATTAAATGATGATAAATGATTATGTGTTGCTAGAAATATAGATGTAGTAACATGGAAAAAGTTGTAGGAAACAAAACACTAATGATAATAATAATAATAATATTAATAATAATAATAATAATAATAATAATAATAATAATAATAATAATGATGATGATGATGATGATGATGATGCTTCTAATAATAATAATACAGTGTACTGATGTATTTTGACCAATACTGAAGGAAATATAGAGCTAAATTACATGACTTAAACAAATAACCATGGCTCTTTTTGAGGTTATTTAGTGTGTTTTAGTATTTCATGCTCATGCTGCTGAAATGAGATAGATAGATAGAGATTTGAAGACCATTGATTTGAAGTCAGTTTGAAAACAGACCCTTAAATGTGTCTTGTAGTCGCTGAACCAAACTACAGTTTGACAGATCTCAGAAGGTACGTCATGTTACATTTCACAAAAAAACAACTTTTTTGTTGACTCTTAAGTTGTATTTTCCACTGAATCACAACAACTCAAAGGCTACTGCACGCTCTGGTAACCATTAAGATAATTGCTCTAGAGTCTGAAATAATAGCCACTGCAATTTGATGATGACAGCGATGGGGGGGATAAAAATAGGGGGAACGATTCCCTCATCCCTCTGATATGGTTGGTGTATGCTAGAGGGCACTATGACTGGGCTTTGGCACCCCTCTGTTCGGATGGATAGTGTAACCCGCCCTGCATATCAGAACACTGTGCCCACTACTTATTTGTAGCTGTGGGGGTGTTAGACACAGTATATTCTCCAACATCAATGGCTTTTAGAGCTTGATATGGAAGCTGGCAAGCTTAGAGGTCCTGGGCCAAAGAGAGGTGGCTGGCCGCTGAATGGCCCCCCTAACAGTGAAAGTTGACTTCTTCATTCTGTGAAGGAAAAGATGTTATAGCCTCCTGCTGCCAGTTGAGGCCGCTGAAAGACAGTGATGCCATCAATGTTGACTGCAGGATGGCAAATGAGATGTTAGTTTACTGTGTTTTTTTTTTTTTTTTTAATCGCTCCAGTGTTAGTCAAACATACCACCTTAATGTTCGCAGTGCATTTATTCTGAGAGTTGTTGTTTTTTTTTATCTTCACCCTCCCTTCCCCCCCTTCCCCCCTCCCAATGTTAAATAAACTGAGCTTTTAATGGTGTACAGTATTCATAGAATTTGTTCCATGTGAGCTACAGAGGGATCTGAGATAATGAGCCTTGACCTGGTGCTGAGCAGTGAGCAGCAGAATGGCAGCTTACAATATTACATTTGGCTTTCCATCTCTCAGCAGGACCTAGGGTAGGGCTTTTAGTGGTGTTTTCTGGAAGAGGTGAGAGAGATTAAGATCAACTGTGGTGTAATCTCACCTGACAACATAATGAAAAAAAAAAGAAAAAAAGTAGGAGTGTGTGAAGCCCAAGGGCTGCTGCATACTGGTTTAGCACTGGCTGAGGGCTTATAGGAGAAATCCAAGTGAGCAAAAGGGTTTTTATCCCATCTTAAAACTTAATCTGCTGCAGACAATAAAGTCTCCCATTAAGCATAAAGTCAGGTTAAGCAGTATGATTACACCCATGTCGGCACACACAGGCGAGTATGCATACACACAAAGAGAAAATGCACACACGTCTTCAATCTTCCGTTAAGGATAATGTTTGACAGCTTGTCATCTCCTTGTCATTCCTGCATAGCCATGAGATTTTTCTGTTTCTAAAAAGGATAAGTAATAAGTTGTCTCTAAAAGTAGTTGATGCTACAGGCTAATTTCTGCTGCCACCTCTGTAGATCGGGTTTCAGGCTAAATGCTTAGCACGTTTAACGCAATGCTTTTTGATAGATGGGCTGACTCTCTTAGAGCAAAAAAACACTTTTACACAGTTACGCTCAATAAGATACAAGACATTTTTTCTCTGGCACATTCCGAGAAGGACCATTAAATTCCTATGATCAGTCATCAATGGAAATTAAATATTTGTGGCTGAAGGAAAACAGAGAAACTACATCACGTTGCCCCAGCAGTGTTTGATTTGTTTTCAAGGAGCGAGGACAAAAGCAAACAAGCAAAAAAGAAAGACAATTAATTGAACAACATCCTAGATGTCATCAGATAGTTTATATGCAGAACATGTCAAATGCTCACGTACACTTGTCATAGCAAAGCAATGACTCACCCATACTTCCTCACCATTGAGGAAAGAAAACAAGTGACAGAAGGAGTGTAGATGTTATGATAGGCATCAGGCAGTTCCAGGTTGTGGCATTAAAATTGTGGCATTAAAACTATTTTCCGTGTAGTTCTAAAAATAACACGCTTCCTCTTCACTCAATGAAAATGAGTGCAAAATAAAGTTTTTTTTCAGTAAGTGTTATGTCATAATAACCATGTTATCAATAGAGAAAACAGCTGGTATCAAAAAGAGTGCTTAACAAACTGCTCTTCTTGATCTATTCTTAGCAAGTATGTCTTCTGTAATGGTTACTACAAGCATTTGTACCAGTGCCTGCATTCCAACTGTGATTATCAAGAGTATCAGTGTGCTTTTGCATGGAGCTGAACTGCGCTCTTGCAACTACTCAAACAGTTTATTTGTAGACTATTGACAGGACACTGGCACTTGTCAACAACATGTCAGAGGGATGGCTTTACTGTCAGTGGAAAGTCACCACGAGGGCTAGCATACTTTGCTCCATTCTTTGTTTGTCGTCCCACCTCTGGGGGACTCTTGGTAGACACCGTTTAGTTTTGTTGACACAAGATTTTCTTTAGTTGTGAAGACAAACAAAAGTGTGTTCTTTCGTCGGACAGCCATGACTGACACGGTCCACTTTTCCTGTAAATTATAGTTCAGTAAATATGTATGATGTATTTATTATCTCTGATGAGTCACTCAAACAAACATAGATATGATACAGAGCGAAAGACAGAAACCATGTAAAAGAAACATGAATATATGGCAAGCTCATACAAGGACAGAAGAGAGGTCTTCTTGTCTAGACTTGTTGCAATACCACCAATCTAACATTGGAGGATTAGCGATGACCTCAGTGTCTTACCATGATGTCATGATGAGCCTGAGGCAGAGTGTCATGTGTGTATGTACCTTTCGTCGTTTGGAAGGCAACAGTGCCTGTGCGTATATGCATTTAAATGTGGCATGCTTGCTGTTAATTAATAATTAAACAGTGAGGTTTAACTGAATTGATGCACATTTTATAGCTTAAGTCTCTGTATGTATGACTCATTTAACCGTAAGATTCAGAAAGTGTGCTCCATTTTCTTGTTGTTCTCACTTACCTTGAAAAAACATACAGAAAAAGTTCAGACAGTATGCTTTCTGTCAGCTCTGACATGTGTATTTCACTGCGTTGAGGTTGTCTATCGGTTAACAAGAAGCTAAAGAAGACGAATCTGCCACAGGCACCCAGAAACACACATGCTGGGCGTTTCCGTGTGTGACAACTGGCTAGTTTCTCCTTGCCACTGGAGCATTTTATCCCTCTCCGTATCTTCCTCATCTACTCCCATAATACCACTTGTGTCCTTTCCACTGTTCCTTATCAGCCCGTGCATTACAGCCTGCACCATGCTCAGATTGAGTGTGATTTCTGGTTAAGGGAATGGTTTTACTTTTTAAAGCTGTGTAGATTTTTTTTTTCTCTGGCGGATATTATATTTGCTTTGCGTGACCCACTGCATCCTCCGTGCTAACCTCCAGGTCTCCATCTCTCCCCCATAGGCTCCAGACAAGTGCTGCTTTTATTGATTCTGGCGTCTGCTGCTTCTGTCTTCTCTGATAGAGAGCAAAAGTGTGTGTGTGTGTGTGTAGTTTGCAAGAGTGGGAGAGAACATGAGAGAGGGGAAAAGTTTATTATTTGAGTGGTGTCTGATTTAGTTTTTAGATTTTATTACAGCTTATTGTGCCCGCACTCGTCTCCGTGTGTGGGTGTGCATGTGGTTGTTTTGTGTTGGGAAGCAGTTAGCGCTTAACAACCTCTGAAAAATAATCAGTCATTTGAGCGGTTCAGAGGATCAGTGTAAAACACAGCCTGCGTCATTGGGATCACAGCCCTCTACATGAGGAAGGTCACAACCAAAACACTTTTCACGGCAAACGCTGGCCAATTAAAAATGAACCTGTCTAAGCAATTACAGGCGGTCGATAATAGTATAACCGAGGTGACTGAGCAGTTCAAAATAGCTCTCTTTGAAAGCTGCGGTGATTCAGAAGGATGTGTATTCTAACTACTGGACTTTAATGCATTTCTCTATGTTTGTGTCCAGGCTCCTCGTCACTACGTGCCTACCCGCTCCTCTCAGTGATCACGAGGCAGCCGCCCAACCTGCCTGCTCACGTCCCGCAGCCGTCCTCTCCGGGCGCTGCCCATCCACATCTGCCACTGCTTTCCCCACAGCATCCCAGAGGCTCCGAGCCGTCACCCAGCCAGACGCCCCTCAGCATCAGCAGCGAGTCGGAGACTGAGCGCAGCACACCCCGCCTGAAGAAGCCACGTCGCAGCCGTACTATTTTTACTGAGCTGCAACTGATGGGCCTGGAGAAGAAGTTCCAGAAGCAGAAGTACTTGTCCACTCCTGATAGGTCAGTGCGGTGCAGACACTAAAATCTGACTGAAACGACACACAACATAAAAGCCCATAAACGAAACAAAGTCACGATTTCGCCTCATCCGTACCAACATTTTGCATAAAAGAAATCAAACCTCTGAAGCGTCAGAGGTAACCACTACATGCAGTTGATGAGAATGCACCAGCAGCAAGTGTGATATAAGTGCAACTCAGCCATAGCATTTTGAAAACCTGCATATCTTACACGAAGCAAAATTTGAAAGTGCATAACGTGCGCACCCTCGAGCACATCCACAAAGCCACAGATGCAATTATCAAGTGGCGGTTAACCCAGCATCATAAGTTTTGATTTATCCTGTGGGGCATGTCTCATGTAATGTGAATTCGTCAAAGCCAAAGCATTACCTCAGCGTTCTAGTTGAGACACGAGTAACGTTTTAACCCTGAGCTCTAGAACAGCAAAAGGCCCCAGCAACCAAACACTGCCTTATTCAGGGAAACAGGGACAGTGGCCAACACAAGCAAACAGAAATGTATTACACTGATTTACTGCCAATCATTTCACACATCTGCAGGTGTACATAAAGTGCATTAAGCTCTCTACAATAAGATGAAGTAATCTATATGGTAATATCTGTGTCTTAAGTTCCATTCTACGGGTCATTTTTGGGACCGTATTTTTTCCAGTTAAAACTGTAGAGCTCGACTTTATATTTGGCCTGCAGGCTGCTTTTCCATTATAAGCCAGAAGAGCATTTAGCCATAAATGTTGTTTAAAGCGCTCCAAGAAGCTTCACATGTGCAGCAGGAATTTTAAGCTGCTTGTGAACCTTCACGTAGACATTTCGTGCACCTCTGTACCCCCTTATTCATTTTTTAATATGCACAGAGAGTGGTGATAAAAACGTAAATAACTGCTGCAACATGTTCACCTGTTTACACACTGACATAGCTCCTCTTTGCAGGAACATGTTGCAAACGCATAGTCCTCGTTGCACTCGTTGCAGTGTAACTGTGTGCTACGTGCGATCTAAAAATAAATGAGCATTTTTTGGATTAAACCAGATTTATTTGTCATTCCATTTACATCCTCTCCATGGGGAAAACTCCCACGATGCATTATTTAATGTATCACATCTTTGCCTGCCTGGAGCTGCTGGAAAGGTGCCATGCCTCATCTTAAGCAGAAGCCCCGAGGCAGAGTACAACTGAGTGATCAAAAACCAACTACCCATATGAAATACTGTGCCAAAATACTGTGTCCTGTCAAAATATCCGATTCTGACACTGTGTTGAAAATTAATTAAACACCCAGCTAGTGGAAAAACATCAACAGAGAAAATCCCCTTTTAAAACCCCACATCAAAGGTGTGGCATGCGCCTCACTTGGGTTTGTTATGATCCAAAGACAACTTAGCTTCCCTCTTCCCTTTTCTTGGCCGAGAACCTCTGCGGTCTCGAACTGAGAGTATGCACGGGGGCGGACAGAAGCAAAACCAAAAATATTCCTGAAAAAAAAAAAAAGACTTTAAAGTATTTATATCGCGGAGCGGTAATGATTTTGTAACACTTCCGAGTATTATTACAAGTGTTTTAATGATCGTCATCTTTATCATCATCACCCTTGTTAAGAGGTATTCAGTTTCACCCAGGAGTCCCGTGAAAAGTGTGAGAACAGAACAAAATGGCGGCCTAGCAGTGGCCTGGAGGGAGTGACTCAGATACTGTTTGTACTGCTGCGTGCGTGTGGTTTTTCCCCATTGAGAACTAATGACTATAAATAATTGGGGTGTTTTGCTTTTTTTGCAATTACTGTTTCTAGCCTCCAGTTTTTACTCTACATCTATAGAAATCTGATGGACAACTCAATTGCCCTTATGTCTTGTCTTTTTAGACGCACTGGCACGCACGCACACACATGCTTCTTGTCTAGTATAAGGTAATGCAGATAGATCCATGAATCTCAGGGATTTGTTTTTCTGTAGCTCTGTTTTTTAGATTTTGTTCTCTCTTTTTTGCTGTCTTGGTTTTCACTATCACCATCAAATGAAAGTCAGCTCCTGTCCCTGGGGGGTGCTGGTCGTGAAAAATCCTTCATCTGGCTGTTAAAGACCTCAAGTAAGATCAGGGAAGAGGAAATCTCATTTAAGAAAAAAAAAGAACGTTTTTTTTTTTTCTACTAATGGATGCCTTGTCCACTTTATCTGGCCCTTCCTGAGGTTTTATATTACACACCAACAAATAGCCCTATTAGTCATGGATCACCACATGTGGTGGATGCATTCAGAATTTTCTCCGACGGTCTCAATTATCCAGCTACGAGCGCTATGATGGGATTACCGATGTCGGCATAGATGGCTGCAGGTGTACAGTGTCAGACTGGAGTTCCTGGCATATAATCTCTGGCGTGAGATGCTTAAACAGAGTGTGGCCTAATGCTCTTTTTAAGTTTTCAGTGTTGCGAACCTTTAGGCATGAAATTGCATTATATAGTTGAAATCATAGCCTATAATTCACAGAGCACAATTAGTGTCAAGATTTCTTCATTTTTGTGTTCGTGAGAAGAGAAACTGATGTTTAAAGCATGCCAACAGTAATGATATATGTCCTGGATAGGTTCCAGGACTGTACTGGAACAAGCACACTAAAATATACACATAAGTAAACTTTATCTTGTTTTTTTTTTGTGCTTCCGCAGGTTAGACCTGGCACAGTCGCTTGGTCTCACACAGCTTCAGGTGAAGACATGGTACCAAAACAGGCGTATGAAGTGGAAGAAAATGGTAAGTTCTGAAGTAAAGCTTGATGTGTTTTTAGTTGTACAAGTCAGATTCAACAAATATTCTTAACTGGACAGGCCGTCGGTAGTGGAATTGGAAAAATTACAACATTTTATACTAACATTGCAACTGGCAATGATGTGTATGATCTTCTTTGCCAAAATGAGCCAATAAAGTAATAATACTGAAGCCAAAGGCAATGTTAGTTTTGGGTAAATCAAATCTAAATTCAGATTATTTGGACAAAAGCATTTTGATTAAATGTTGCTTGATTCTTTTATGAGAAAAAGGATTATCTGTAATTAAACACTGAATGTGTTATTATGAATGCTTTTTGCATGCAGGCCAATAATATTTGTTTTTTGCTTCCTTTTCATTATTATAAGATTATTTTGTTTTCATTGTACACCACCGCTTTTAGAAATGTTTGCTGCTACTATTTTATGCTACAGTATTAAGTAAATATAGCAACATGGAAGGAAGTGGAGGGTGCGGAGAGGCAGAGTGTAGTGTGACTGATGATGGCGACAGCGAGAGCAAACACTTTTTGTAGAAGGGTCAACAACTGAGAGAACAAAAAAGACCTGAAATCGTTAAAGATAAATGAGTGCACAAGGCGGAGCCAGTAGCGATATGTCTTCACTTAATTACTATAATAGCAAGCGTTGCCTTTGACTTCTGCTGCCATTTATCACCAGAGGAGTCCACTAAGACCGCCTGTGTGTTATTCTAGGTGCTCAAAGGAGGTCACGAGGCTCCGACTAAGCCCAAGGGAAGACCCAAGAAGAACTCCATTCCCACCACGGAGGAAATAGAGGCTGAAGAGCGGCGACTGAAAATTGAAGAAGAGGAGAGGATGAGGAGATTAGCTGAGAAAGCAGCGGTGGTGCAGAGTGGAGGAGAAGCACCCCAACTGGAACCTCAAGATCTCAGTTCGGAAAGTTACAATCCAGCCGGAGCAGTGGAGGGATCCGAGCGAGAGCTGCCACTCCTTATGTCAGAAACTCACACAGCCAGCTAAGCAAGAACAAACCAAAGACTAATGCCAACCTGAAAACAAATAGTGCCTCAGGATCACTGTAAAAAAAGCCTGTGTGGTGTTAAGAGCCAGTTGCTTTAGCTATATCGTCGGCTTCACGTTAGTGGCCTAGAGCTTTTACCCAGTGTAGCATTGAGTTTTTCGTTCACTGGAAATTGTGCCATACTGAGAGCAAATCTCCATAAATACTGATTGCACTGGTAAACCTTTTGCCTTCAGCCTGCAGCGTAAGGAGTAGTAATCAAAAAAAAAAAAAAAAAAGGAAAAACTGAAGGAAGTCTGGCTGCTTGGCATCAAAAAAAAAAAAAAAAAAGGTCAGTCCGGCCTTAACGTGTATCTCAGCAGTCATCGTTGGTGCCAAAATATCAACTAATGCCTTATTAAAAGGTGTCTATGAATCTTTGTATTATACATTACTTCACTGCCAAAACTCGGTTACAGTGCCTTCTTGGTCTCAGAGGAAAGCTTTTTAAATAAAATAATATCAAATGCAGTATATTTTTTATAATCATTTCTAACTGTAAGTGCCATATTTCGAGACGGATTTGTAAAGTTTAGACAAGAACACCTCTATTTTTAGTTTGGAGTCAGATTGTAGAGCTGTGGTTATTATTTGCTCATATAAGCTTGCATCTTTATTTTGTTTTTTCAAAGATCAAAGGAAATGTTTCTGCCAAGCCATACACTGTATCATACAATAGAAACATGTAGAAAACATATGGTCTTTCAAATATATACACGTATGAACACGTATATAAACTGCTGTTTT